GTTAAAAAATTGTGAACATGCGATTAATATTAATAATGAGTGCATGTTATTTTACACCTTAAGGTTAATTTTGTAGGGAACTGATCAGTTAACTCAGCTATCTGAATTTATATTCTAGGAATTTACTAAATGCTTTTGATTTGTATATTTTATGTTTTCTTTTGTTTACTCTGAGTTGTTTTTAATTGTTGGTCCGTCCAGTCACTCCATCTGTTTGAACCGTAAGGTTTTTAAGAAACACGGAGATTTAACTTTTAATTATTTTTATGCGTTTTGGGTACTCACAACGCGCCCTTAATTTAGTGTATTAACCACTTAATATAATCACTTAAATGTGTTTTCGATAAACTGAAAAGATTTTAGATGCCAGGAATGTATTTAAACTCTTGGTTTTTTAAAATTATTTTTGGGGAACTAATTGATTGAAGTATGAATATTTCTTCTCTGGTGTTTGTGAGGTTCTTGAATTAAAAAAATTGAACTTAGTTGCTCTTCAGTTAATTAGAAAATTGATAAATTTGTAATTTTTGTGAATTGAAGAATTTTTTGTTTTGGTGGAAAGCTAGCATTCTATTTTACCCGAGCACCAATGAAGACTTATTCCTCTTTATTTTTCAGATTAAGTTTTAAGTGGGAAATTGCATTTTATTGAGTTAAATGATTCTCAGGAAAGTTTATTATTTTAAAGTGGGTTAGATCAATCACCCAGTTCCTTCTTCTAGAGAGTTCAAATATCAGAGTTTCAGTTAGATCATTAGTAATTAGACACTTTTTTTCTCTTTTTTTTTGTGCTCGGCACCAACCACGTAAACTTCGGTACCAACGAATTTTAGGTACCACCAACTTGTTTTCCCCCATTTAACAATTTTAAATAATTACCTCCTTTTTTAAGTACGGAAATGCATAAGCATTTTTCGTGGCATTAATTTACGACGAAATACTTCTCAAACATTTCTTCTTTGTCAGTTTGAACATCTCGTCTTACGTTCTTATATTCTTTTAACATCTGGAAAACTAAATATTTAAAATAGAATAGGTATTATAACTGCTTGGGTTAAAATTATTTCAGGTGATAAGTTGAAATCTGCATATAAAATCAAATTACAGCTTCCAAATTTAGCATTTTTTAATTCTGTAATTATAAAACGCTTTTTGAAACTTTGCAATAATTTAGAGGTGAAAGAATACAGATTTGAAGTTTTCAGATTCAATAAGTATTTACGTTTGTAAATAGGGAAAAATACGGTGTAAAGGCTTCTTTATGAATTTGATACACGAAAAAGAAAGAAATTAATGAATATACGAGTATATTATATGAAATATATTTCTGCGTTGCGATTCGATAAGTCATAAATTTAGTACAAGGTTTCTGCAAGCTGAAGAGCTGAGAAACGTTGCTTTAGCAATATATAATTGAAATGCGTTAGGAATAGCTAATGCATGTATTACATTAAGCGCAACTGAAAACGTTTTACGGTAAATATAGCAAAAATACATATGAGCTCTCGCCCTGTTTGTGGAAATCAAGATTTCCAGAATCAAAACCTTTAGACAAAGAAATGTGGTACAAGGATTTAAAAGCGTTTATTTTTATCAGAATCTTTGCTTTTAAGACGTATTAAATTTTATTCCTGATGTAATAGGATTTCAAGCTAGTTAATGCAGTTGTCTTTATTAATTCAGTGAATACTTTACGAAAAAGGTTTTATAGAAAAAACGAAGGGAGTAAAGAGATAAATGAAGAAAATCCTTTTACGATGCAAAAGATTTTGCCAGCTATGTCCTGTCAGCCGTACTACCGTTCATATTTGTCTCCCCCTCATCCAGGGAAAAGAGTGGAGGTATACGGAATGGAAAAAGAAGAAGCTTTTAAGTAATTTGGGAATCTGAAATCTATTTGAAGAATAAAAAAAAAAATCTGATTGAATAAAATTATCTTGTAAACATTGTTAAAAATGAAAGTTTTACAAAATTTGTTTCATATCAAGGGATTTTTATTATTTGTCTGCTGATTGGTTAGTTAATTAATTATGGCAAAGCATTCAACTGCTGTTCGCTTATAAAGGATGCTTGCTGAGAGAACTGCTGAACTTGTCGGGATATAATTACCATTTGTTTAAGGTTTCAGACATTGACTATCAATGGGTGATTCATTGTTCGTATTGCTGTCAGTTACTTCAGTCAATTAGTATTTTTTAAAGGTTGCATCTAAACAAAAACTTAATGATATATCTCGCAATTATGGTTTATCAAACATTTTTATTAATAATTTAAAGAAAATTCTTCGTTTTTGCTTAAAAATAAACGGAGGATATTCGGAATATATTTCTTCAAATGAAGTATCTTTCAAAAGCGGCAAAATATAAATTTTTTTATGCATGAATTGAGAGTAATAAAGTTAATGTTACAAAATACAATGTCCTAATATTTCTTAGCATCATATGATGAAAGAACTTTTCTAGTTATAAATCACAATTCTGTGATAAAATACAATCCTTTGCCAATGTATATATATCTATATCTATCTATCTATCTTTGTATATATACATATATATAGACACGTTTATATCTAAAAGAAAACCTAAAATATGAAAGACAGTCACTAACAAAATTACTAAGTTATTTGGCAATATGCTACTTAATTTTAATTTAAATACAACCCCTTAAAAAGCTCTGTCCTGCGTCACTTATCTGCTGTCATCTGCAAAGCGAAAGCTCTTGCCCATTGCTGTTCAGGATTCAAATAAAGAATTTGAGTTATAAATACTCCAGCTGCTTTATACGCACACACTCTCTCTATACTTGCCCCTGCTTGAATAACCCACGTCTCATAGCTTAGCTTTATCTTGCATTGTTTAAAATTTAAGCAGTTTACGTAAGACTGTGGACAGTTTATAACACCCCCAGTGCTGCATCAACCAAGGATATGTCCTAGGAAATTAAAGATGTGATTGAAAAGATGTATCAAGATTGTCCAGAAATAAATCATGTGTTGAACTCAGCCCTTTTGTCTCCAACTCCATTATTCCATCTTCGCAGCATATATGTACATTACTCAACATAACATATAATACCCCAAAAAAATGCCTGCGTCTTACCCATGCATTCACATTAACAACGGAAATTGAAAAAATACATTATTGAATCATGTTTAAATTAATTAACACACTGTCTAATTATTTGAACTGTCTTAACACTTTTAGTTTTCAAATGAAATACGTTTATATAAGAGCAAAGTTCTTGAAGTTTAGGAACAGCTTTGGCAGCAGTGTTGACCATTGCATTATTTCCTTTCCCAGCTGAGTTATTTTATCCGGCATTAGACTTTTCTTAGCCGAGTTACTAGCGCAGTTAGCTTAGAGTTGAGCCAGTGCTTGTCAGGCTGTGTTTATGTAAATCTCCACCGTTAAAATTTTTAAAATTAAAAAAAAATTTAACTCATATTATATATTAGTTGAGTAACTTCTGTAAGCACAAGTCATGCATCCATTAGGTTCAAAGTGTTAAATAAGTTTAAATCTTCTTCAGTATCCATTGTTGCTTTACAAGACAAAGTGATAAGTCAACTGACAGTCTCAACAGGGACCAAATTAAATTAATTAAGGAGTGGTATCCTACAAAGTGAAATGTTACTTTTAGCATCACACCCACTATTACTTCTTTGCATTCGTTGCCAAACCACAGTATGAAGTGAATTCTAGCATAGCGGGGACTAGGGGAACTAACGAGAACCATGGGAATTATCATATTTGACAATTAGACAAGTAACGGAATTAGACAAGTGACTTGTCTAATTGTCAAATATGACGACCAAGTGTTGACGTCCCCGTCTTCTGCTAATCGGCTAATCGTAAGCACAAGTATTACTGCAATATATGAGGCATCTCTATCGTAAGATTACGTTTAAAATTTTGTCTTTCCTAGTCGCATTTCAAAATAATATTTTTATTTAGCTATTTAAATACTTATTATATACACTGACAACCTGAAAATATATCTTTTTGGGTCTTGACAATTCATTTTTTATTATTTTATTTTCCCTCCAAGAATCGTTAATCTGGGGATTTGCAAAATATTTTGAAATTACGTGAAATGGCAAAATAACGTTGCAGCGCTCAAAATCTTTATTTTATGCATTTTTAATTGCCTATTTACAGCGATTCCTCAGCTGATTTTTTTACCGCTATATATTTATTGATGAAAGGCATTCCGTTTACTTTTTATAAAATAATAAGCATTTTAAACTGAGAGAATTTCCTTATTATAAGGAATTCCTCCGATGTGTATCTGGGGTGTAGTTATGAGCATATTCAATTAGCAAACAGGTATAGTTGATATTTTTCAGATTCTCATTCACGAGAGAAAAGATTATAGAGTAACATCTGAACTAAAATTTGGTAGGCAACAATTCGTCACTACTTTGCTTTGGCCAATTGGATCTCGTCTAATCCTCTTAGCGTTGCTCTAATGGGGAGAGTTTTATGAAATCGAAGGCATTCCTTTTACATGTTTTTGTGGTGTAGTGGTTAGCACATTAAGTTAGCAACTGAATGATTTGGGGTTCGATTCCCAGCGAGACCACAGTTAATTTTTTAAAATCCCCTTTCGAAAAAAAAAAAAAAAAAAAGGAATCATTTAAAATTATCAAATGTATTGTAAAATTTTGTATGTATTGTTGTTTTCTGTACAAGTAAATATCATAGTGAAAGTATTTCATATAGTCTTAATAATCTTAAAATAATTACTTCTTTTAAAAGTATTAAGACTATTTGAAATATTTTCATGATAAGTGCCATATGCTGAAAGACTGAATAAAAGATAAAAAAAGAGATGAAATTTAATTATTTAACTCTGCGGCACGAGTTACCCAGTCTACTCACAGATTGAGAATACCTTGTTAATTTGTCACCAAATTCTTTTATATGACATAAGAGAAATTCAATGTATACGTTAAAATATTATCAGAAAAATAATTAAAAAATGAAATATATATTTTATACCTGAGACCTAATAGTTTGTAGATCTTCGGTAGATTGTGGCATATCTAGCATGTTGTTGGCACTGGGATTGACAATTCCCGGAGCTATGTCACCTCCACTAGCCATTTGGAAAGTTTTATTATTCTCGCCATTGTTGGGCACAGGCGCTTTGAATCCATGTTCATGATTGCGATAACAACCAGTGCCTGTCGTTGCATAATGGGCAGAATCTTCCTCCAAGCTGCCAGCATCTACCTGTTGATGAGAAAAATTCTTCGGGATGAAAGTATAATTAAGAAACATATAAGAGATTGCTAGCAGATATGAGCTTTAGCAACCATTCCGAGCAACGAATCGCTCCTATCAGGGGATTTGCTGCCGAATCCCAATCTTGTCGTGGTACATTTTTCAACGTTGTAAGGGTGTGAAATTCACCACCCGCTAATAAGGAAATTCTTTACCTCGTTGATACCTATGCTTAAATTTATCAGGTCTGATCTGAGGTCGGAGTAATACATTTATTATTATTATTATTATGTATGAGGCCAATCCATACTTTTTCCAACTTTGTGCGACTCGAGAATCGAAGTCAATACATGAAATACTCTACATTATTTTATAAATAGTTCTAAAAAATTTCAGCATTCGGTCGCTCAAGTTCACTGCCTTTTTGCACCAACTGTCTTGACATTGAGCGTTTCTCGCAACCTAGGGAACACAAACACTTAGGTCGACGGAGGGTGATCTTTTATGACTTAATAAAGCAAATCTTTTGGAAAGTCTCAGCCGATTTCAGTCAGGCGAAGGTCATACTAGTCTCAATTTGTGTTCATCATACCGCTAGGAAAAATAAAAATATAGGAAACAGTTGTTTTCAAAAATATAAATTTGCTCTATCTGTTGCAATGTTTCCCCTATTCAAAAAGTTTTTATAGGAAGAACCTTCAAAGAATTTTGGGATAACTTTCTTTTATTTTTCTTCAGACATTCAACAGAACTATTTACACTTTAATAAATAATTACACAAGCCGCGCAAAGTGCACTGAAACTGCTACATTTTACACTCATTCACAACTTTGACGATTACAAAATTAAATTATCCTTAGTATTCTTTCTGTTGAAACAACCACATATCGATAGTTTAATAACTTCGGCTTCTAATTGTTGCCAGATTTCTTTCACATCTATTAACGAAGAGAATGCTCTGTTTCTATGCTAAAAAAAACAGAATCACATTAATTAGCTTCGCTCGCTCTTGTCTCATACATGCTTCGCGAAAGAGCGAAACAGTTGATATTTTTGCTTTTACTGTAAAAAATATTTTAACATCTGAAGTGATTCCACTTGGCTACGTGTTTCGACTTCTCTCAAAAACAGAACTTAATTCTAAAAAGATATTCCCTTCGTAAATGGTATAGGATTCATCGTTATGGTTGTCACATATTATATAACAATTAAACATATATGTTTAATTGTCTTAGTTTAATTGACTATGTAGATTTAATTACAGTTCTGTGTAACTGTAGACAAATCTCCTATCAGGTTTTGTGGAATGTAACGCTTAGCAAACAAATATGGTAAGTCGATGGTGTCATACTTGATTTAGAGCAAAGGCATTGTTAAGTTTATTCAGTTACTCAATATAAAACTCCAAATTCCAAAGCCAGAAATTCGTTCAGTCTAAATTTTGAATTAGATTTTTAAGATCGATGAAAAAATAATACATCAGGATAAAAACAAAAATGAAATCCAAAGGACTTTATTCTCTAGAGAATACATGTGTATATAAGCGAGACTGGGGGTTTGCAAGCTGCGTGTTTAGATTTTGCTTCAGCAAATGTTTCTGTGTAATAATTTATAACAAACCAAGTCATTTCCTGCAATACTTAATAATTTACATTATCAACGCTCTCGATGCCTAATGGGATTCCTAGAAGATTTTATCTTTAAAATGACAATTACCTATGATTACCCATGATAATACATTTTATTATAACTAGAGATTCTAGAAAGCGTAATGCAGAAACTATGAATATTATAAATCACATATTATTTAACTATACAGATATTCTACAATAATTTCTGAATTACGGCAAATTTTACATTAAAATGAAATCAAGTCGGTCTATTTTGACAATAAAAATAGTGCTTTGTGAACTCAATTGAAAACTATTTTAAATTCTCAGTTATTTTAAGTATAAACTAGAGCATCAGAACTGACAAAACATAAACTGTAACTCTAAATGTCTTCAAATTTCTAACATATATTCCATAGTGAAAATTAATAACACAGTCAAACTGGCAACTTTGATATGTGAAGTATACTTTTAAGTTGATAGAAATAACATTCTTGTAAAATGAACATGTCATGAAATTGCAGTGTGTTTACTTAAATGAGTTCTGCAAGTAAATAATTTTAGATTTTGAAATACTTTCATAGTAGTTTCTAAAAAATTAGGCAGCATTTCATTTAGAATTATTAATACCACAAGATAAGTAAAATTTATTGTACACAAAGATATTTAAAAGGCAACTAACTCACCTGACTGACATTATGTTGAGTTTCCACAAGAACATCAATGAGATCCATACTCTTGGCGAAAGCATCCCGAAGGTTTACGTGCTTGAAGGTGACAATACTTCCGTCTCGCCGGGCTTTTTCCATCGCTTCACGTCTCTTTAAGGCTTTTTCTCTTCGCATCTGAGTCTTGTAGAATTCGGCAAAATTGTTCACAATGATGGGAATGGGCAGAGCGATGACAAGCACTCCACAGATGCAACACACCGTGCCTACAACTTTCCCTAAAGGGGTGGTGGGACAAATATCACCGTAGCCAACCGTTGTCATAGTGATACTGGCCCACCAAAATGTCTCTGGAATGCTTGTGAAATTGGTGCCCACCTCGTCTTTTTCTGCAAAATAGGCTAGGCTAGAGAATATCATGACGCCGATGGCTAAGAACAGCATTAGAAGTCCCAGTTCTTTGTAGCTGTTGCGTAAAGTGAAACCTAAGCTCTGAAGACCCGTAGAGTGACGGGCCAGCTTCAAGATTCTCAGAATCCGCATTATTCGAAAAATCTGAACTACTCTTCTAACATCCTGGAAGGATTCTGTGCTGTTTTTGGTCTCAATAAGAAACAACGATATGAAATAGGGTAGTATGGCTAATAAGTCAATCACGTTCAATGCTCCCTTGAAAAATTTCCATTTATTGGGAGAAGACAGGAATCTGAGAAGGTACTCAAGCGTGAACCATGTGATGCAGACCGCTTCGACGATGCTCAGTTCGCGGTTGTCTGTTGGATGACCATTTTCGTCGACACCTTGTAGAGTCGGTAACGTGTTTAATGTTAAAGCTACTGTTGACAGTACAATGAATAAGACTGAGATCACACCTACGACCTGGAAGAACAGTTTACATTACTTTGAACAACTGAAAACAGATGCAAAATCAGTGCCGGAAGTGCAGTGTTATGATACGAAAAGGAAAAAGAAAACACATAATTTATAGTTAAATTACGTGTATTTGTACACTTAGTAAGTTTTGTAATTAAAATTTAGGCAATAGTAATGCCAAATGCAAAAGACGCAAGATTTTAGGTTAGAGGTAATTTATGTCATTGAGTTCGAACATAATAGCTTAAATTTTATTCGTTACTTAGAACTGGCAGAGAAACGAACATTCAAATATAAAGTTTTCTAATAAATTCAAATTAATTAAAAAGAAACTCTACTGTAAACTTATATTTTTTTGTCCTTTAAGATTCTATTTCAGAAGTACATTCATTAAATATTTCATTGCTGGCAACGTTTGTTCTTTTACATATATGCACGCACGTAACTTAAATAAGAATGATAAAAGTATTTGAATGTTTACATAATTCATTTTAGGTAAGAAATTCTTGGGAAATATTTCCACAAAAAAAGGAAGTCTCATGTTATTTAATCTCTCTAAGGCATACTCAAAAACATAAAAAACAAGAAAAAATTATAAAAAAAAACTACATCTTTCAGTTATCTTAAAAATTTCATATGAAAGTTGTGTACCTTTTGCTATTAATGCTATATATAATTTCCAGCTCTTAAAAGCTAACTTTGTAGAGTCATTAGGCTATTTTGAAGCAGGAATACATGAAAAAATGAGCAGTACCCTAGCCAGGACTCGAACCTGAACCTCTCAAATACGCGCCGAGCGTGCTATCGTTACACTCCGAAGGCATGCTGGAAGGAGGAAGAAAATATCTTATAATCTGCTGACAGCATATGTTATAATAAGTTTATCTTTTTCTTTCAAGACGTAATTAAATTTAGTTTGAAATTTAAATTATCACTTAAAAACGAAATGCAATTTCAGATGATTACACTTTAAAATATAAAAGTATCCACGATAGAGGAAAGACAGAATTAAAAGTTTTTCCATAAAAGTTTTCACTATCAGACCATTTTTGAAAATTCCAGTCATCTTTCAAGGACAAGGATACTATTACAAAATACAAAAAGAAAATATTTGCAAATTCTGCTTTCTCTTCAATAATTTGCTAGAAAAGCAGTAACTTTTAAATGCATATTCTTTAACAAATGTATGAAATATTTAAAATTATTCATCCAGAAAATTTAACGTATTCAAACGCAATCGTAATTCTAAAAGCATCAGCTTTTTAACAAGGCAGTTCAAGCCTAATATTCAGCAAAGGAAATAGTTCTCTACTTTGAGATTTTTTTCCGATACGTAGGTTAAATTGGTAAATATAAAATCCACGATGGAGGAGAAACAGAATTAAAGTTTTTCCATAAAATATTTCACTATCAGACCATTTCTAAAAATACCATTCATCTTTTAAGGACAATATACTATTACAAAATACAAAAAGAAAATATTTCCAAATTCTGCATGTGTTTTCAATAATTTACTAGAAAAGAAGTAATATTTATATATAATATATAAAATAAAAACTGCATATTATAATATAAAATAAAAACTGCATATTCTTTAACAAATGCATGAAATATTTGAAATCATTCATTCAGAAAATTTAATTTATTCCAATTCCATCTTAATTCTAAAATCATCAGCTTTTTAACAACGTAGTTCAAGCCTAATATTCGGCAAAGAAAATAATTCTCTAGCTTTAGATTTTTTTTTTTTTCGATACGTAAGTTAAACTGGTGTTTTAAGTATTCATTGACTGATTAAAGGCATGTTTTCTACATTAAACTCAAAATATTAATGCAATTAATTGGATAATTTAAGTGCAACCGTTTACAATATTGAACTTATTTCTAAGTCCTATTTTTTCTTATCATATTAACGCATGGTTTACTACAGGGTTCAGAAATAACTGTTGGTGATTCAGAGACAAGCATTGCCAATATATAAATAAATTACTTTACAAATTCTCCACTAATGATTTGAATACTGAAAGCAAAGTCTAATATATACTTATTAATATACAATGTTTAAATTTACCATCAGATTAAGCATGTCCTTCTAATAAAACGCAGAACATCCTTATTCCATAGAAATACTTTTTTTAGGAGATTTTCGATATGGCTCTTGCTTCTTACATTAATTCGACTTTTCTAATAAAACATTCTTCGTGAATTTTATGGAATTTTTTAGTACCGGTCAGCATTCATCCACAACGCATCCATTGATTTAAGTCTTATAACCTTCTGCATAGCTTCAGCCATTTTTATAGCATCAGTTCGGAAAGACTTTTTTTACTAAGTATTACTCTTATTAATATAAGTGCCACGAAAGAGTTTTAAAGTGAAAAAAATTAATATAACGTTTTACTCTCATATTTACGAGAAGAAATTTTGAAAGTTTAACATTTCTTTTGCAAAGTGCGATTTAACAAAAAAGTACTAAGTGAGCAAAAGTGGCAACATTGAAACTGTTCACTTGACACAAGCCGTGTATACAATTGGCAGAGCAGTTCGAGCTCGGAAGTGAATAGCTGACTTTAGCGTGCTTCTATTAAGTCACGTTGCAGAGTTTACTAAAGATGATCATATTCAACTGGAGGCATTCCGAAGTAAATACAATACTAATTGAATGGCTAACTATAGACATTAAGAATTTACAACAAAAAGATTATCCGAGGATTTTAGCTAGTTAGACATGGCGCTAGCAAAATTAAAATGTATGGATAAAAACAACCAGTGTTTGGGAATGTCGGTAACCATATCCATTTCGATTTAGCTTCAAAACTTGTTGACGAAAAGCGTGTAACCACACAAAGTACTGTAGAGATGCTTATGAAATACCACTAACAACAAAGATGTCAAGACGGCAATTTATAAAATCGCGACTACTCTCAGCCTTCAGCATAAAGAGGGGTAGAAGTTTCCGGAAAACAGCCTTTCTCTTCACAACTATCAGCCTCGATTGCCAGCGCTCCAATTATAGAGCCAAATTAGCCGACACGTATTTTTATTTGAAAAGCGTTGTTTAATTTTTTTTACCTACTTTATTAAAATTTTCGTCCTTTTAAAATTTATATTCGGAAACTATATTCTGATGCATGATGTTGCATTTGTAAAACAATATAATGTTATATATATAAACTTAAAGCATCAAAAGTAAAATAAAATTGAAATCAAAACAAGGCAATTCCCCAACAATATAAATAATTACAACCGTGGATAAAGGGTCACACATTGTATCTATACAAATCAAAATTAATATAAGAATTCATCAGTAGAATAAACTCGAAAAACAAAAATGCGAAGGAAAAAATTATAAGAACTATGAAAATATAAAAATATTAATATCCTTTTACTACTCCAATTCAGAACTCATCAGCGAAAAATGAATGAAAGTTTCGTAAAAGTCGATTAATATGTTTCGAATGCATGCTTTGTTCTTCTGAAACATTTGATCAAGAACCGAAAAAAGAACAATAAAATTCATTTAAAACTTTACAGTTCAATTAAAACCGAAGGATCGAATCTCAAATGTATTCAGAATTTTCCCTAAACGCCTTCAAAACACTTGGAAAAAAGAGAGAACAATGAATAAAATATTACACTATGAAAAACTGATTACTCAAAAAAAATTGTCAAATATACATTAAATGTAAATCTGACATTCAAAAGCAATTACAAATAAATGAGCAAAAGAAAAGAATACGCCTTTAAATTAAATTGTCATTTAAACAATATTAAAAGAAATGGGCGGTCCCCTATTATGCGAATCTAAACGTTTTATACCAAGGAAACGAAAACCTTTCAGAAGAAATTTCTATAAATAATATAAAATTATTATTCGAGCGTTAATCAGCTAAAAACTGAAAACCTCTTAGAAACAATTGAACATATCGTAAACTTACACACAAAGTCACATAATGCAATAAGAAGTCGTAGCAGATTTAAATATTTATTAGTTTATTTGGCATTTGCGACCACAAATAACTTACGCAAATCGTGCCTGTTCCAGAACATAACATATACATTTTTTATATTATTTCAGTAAAAAGAGCATCGAAGTGGCAAGAGAAGCTGCAAGCAAATGCGATGTGTTTGGGAAAAAATCTAAATGCAGAAAGAAATAGTTTTGATTGGATTTCGATATAATTTTATTTGCTAATTAAAAATTTTAGAAATTATTGGTTAGTTGTTCACTTCGCAAAACTTTTATGTTACCAGCGTTACGTTGAGTCATATCATAGCGGCTATTAATTTTGAAATGAGGTAGTTCAGAGAAGTTTGTTATAAGCGATTACTATTTTTAGAACAGAAAGAGAAAATACACAAATTAAAATGAAGGAGTTATCACACAGTTAGGATAAATTTTGATTTATATACTTTATCTTATCTTATATATATAAAGAATGTTATTAATATTCCCACGAGGTTTTATTTCTTTAGAGTCATAATCTGATAATCATGTAAAAATTAATTAAAAAAACAAATATTTTTTATTTTCAACTAATGCAGATAATATTACGAGTTGGCTCCACGCCAATAGTGAAGCTCGCGAATGATTTCTTGGACATGCATTCTACAATATAATGTTATATGAATTTTTACGAACTTATTTCTCTGAATTTTAAACACACCAAAACAAGAATGTCTTTTAAAACATATTTGTAAGCGGAATTGTATGCGTAGGACCAAGTGTGGCCAGGCAAGGACTTGACTTTTGTGAATGTGTTACACACACACACACACACACACACACATATATATATATATAATATAAAATTAAATACTGTAACTTCTTTTGACGGTAAACTTAAGAAATTTAGAAAGTCAACTTACGAAAGGGTTTATGGAACCCAGTACTTACGTAACTTGGAGGGGGGGTTACTGTATTCTGAAACACAGCCTGTAACATTTCTTTCATTGAATTTCAAGCACAATAATTTGTTAATGTTTTTTACTATAGCTCAATTCTT